TGCCGCTCCGTATCATTTAACTTGTGGCTCTTAAATACTATGGGATGCTAATCCTGCATTAGGGAACCCCCAATGGCGAAGTCTGAGGCATATGTGTGCACCTCAAATGTCTTAGCAAAGTCAAGTAATGCCAAGACTGGCTCCTCTATTACAGATGCTTTAAGGCCTTCAAATGCCTTTTGACAATGCTCTGTCCAAACCCATGGCTTGTTCTTCTTTAGCAACTCAGTCAATGGCGTGGCCTTGGCTGAGTAGCCACTAATGAACCGACGATAGTAGTTAACAAGGACAAGGAAGGATCTCAACTCAGTTACCTTTGTAGGTGCCTCCCACTCTTGGATAGCACGTACCTTAGCCTCGTCTTATGCGTAGCTCGTCATTGATAATGACATGGCCCAAGAAGTGCACCTTTGATTGTGCAAACTCAAATTTCTCCCTCTTGATGTATAGCTCATTCTCTCGCAAGAATTAGAAATCCTTTTTTAGGTGCTCTATGTGCTCCTCCAAGGTGTTGTTGTATATGACTATGTCGTTTAGGTAGACTACCACGAACTGATCAAGGTAGGGATGGAAAATCTTGTTCATAAGAGTGAAAAATGTGGCTGGTGCATTTGTTAAGACGAAGGGCATCACCAACCACTCAAAGGCTCCATATCTCATCACATATGTTGTCTTTGGCTCATCCCCTTCTGCAATGCAAACCTGGTAGCAGCCCTTTCAAAGGTCCACCTTGGTAAAGTACTTGGATTGCCCAAGTCTATCTAATAAGTCAGCAATGAGCGGGATCAGGTACTTATTTTTCACTGTGACCTTATTAAGTGCTTGGTAGTCTATGCACAAACGCAATGATCTATCCTTCTTCTTCTAGAACAATACTGGTGCTAAAAGGTCCCTTTGATGGGAGAATGTGACCAACATCTAGCATCTCTTTCAATTTTTTCCTGAGCTTCTCTAGCTCGGGTTGTGCCATACGATATGGGGCAAATGCGGATGGCTTAGACCCTAGCTCCAACTCAATCTTGTCCACCTCTCGCCTAGGCGGCAAGTGCTTAGGCAACTCCTCGGGCATGACATATTTATTTTCCTCAAGCAACTTCTCTATGTAAGGCGACACTATCTCTTGAAAATTCTTGTCTTCCTCTAGACTTGCAATGGTTGCCACGAACATCGGCTCCCCCTTCTTGATCCCCTTGACAACCTGCATAGCTAAGAGTTATGCTTGGACCTGTCCGTGTGGCATAGTCACTGTAGGTACCATGCAAGCTCTTTCTTGATCCATAACTAAGAGACATTGGAGGTAGGGGTCGATTAAAGTATGAAAATGTCTAAAGAACTCTTGCCCCAGTATGATCTCAAAGATATCCATAACGGTTACGGTAAAGTTTGTCATACCTTTCCAAGCTCTCAATTCGACACCAACTCTATTAGCTACCCTACGAGCATTCTGTACCTTGGCATTCAAGGTCTTGACGTGAGAGTCGGTTGGAGAAAGCTTCAATTCTAGTCTCTTTGCGGCAGCCTCAGTCACAAAATTATGAGTTGCTCCAGTATCCACCATTGCACGAGCGGGCTTGTTGTTGATGGTGAGATCCACATACCGATAGCCATTCTCGGTAGGTTGGATAGCTTGATTTTTGACAACACCACATAATCTGATCATACCCAACTGTGCGGTTCCCGGACTCTCTCCTTGTGGCTGCTCCTTCTGTTCAAGGACTATGGCACTGAGGCTCTTGAGGTCAGGATAATTCCTAAAACCGTGTGGCCTTCCACATATATAGCAGCCCTTCTTCTCGGCATGTGCCTTCTTCTCAGCATAGCCCCGACGGCCACTCAACTTTTTGGAATCTTGAGTTTTGGAGTATTATTATTGTATCTCCTTGCCTTTGCCACGGTCTCCCCCGCCTTTGACATAGCTAACCTTTAACTCATTGACTTTGCTTTTGCCGTGCTTATCATGCCTGAAATCCATCAATGATTCAGCCTCCACTATGGTTTAGTCTATATCCGCAACTTGCCGACATTGTAACTCCTGTTTAGCCCAATTTTGCAACATGTCCATGAAGTGGAACAACAAGTTATCATTGGTCAAGTTGGGAATTTGAAGCATAAGGGTAGTGAACTGCTTGACATAGTCACGTATGCTCTTTGTTTGCTTCAACTCCTTGAGCTTGCGCCTTGCCTCGTACAAGACATTGTTTGGAAAGAACTGTCGCTTGAACTCGGCTTTGAACTGATCCCACGTGCTAATAGTAGATAGACCTTTATCCACGCCGACCATCTTCCTTCTCCACCATAGCATTGCAGTCTATGAGAGGTACAACCCGACAGTGTTGATCTTGGCCTCGTCATCCCTCACTTTTCCGTGCCTGAAGTAGTTCTTCAAGTGCCAAAGGAAGTTTTCCATTTCTTGTGCATCACGAACTCTTTTGAACACCTAGAGTTTGGGAGCCTCGATCTTGGCCCCCCTCGTCATTACAACATTGCTAGCTGCCTCGGTCATGCCAGCATTGACATACTCCTCGAATGAATCTTATCTTTGCCTTCGTAGCATCGATATTACTCAAATCCTCCATGAGTCTGCACTCTAAGACAGTGATGGTTTTCCTTAGTTCCATCTCGGTCTCTGTACCTCCCTCCAAGTCATTTTGGATACTCTCAATTTTTTCAAGATTGTGCCCCTCAAGAACGCTAAGGGTGCATTCCATATTCCCCACCCGTTGGCCAAAGATCTCCACGACATCCATCCCCGACTTCATCTTCAGCACCCATTCTTTGCCGAGCGAGACGTCCTCTGACAGGACCTCCACTTCATCCTCGCTTGCCTCAGTGGCAAATGGTTCTTGGGATGTAAGCCTTTCGTTTGACACAACCTTGGTTAGCACCTCCTGGCTCTTATTGGTGGCATTCCTCTTTTTGCTACGGCCGCTCTTGCCAGCAGCATCTTGGATGACATTGGCTTGGGTGTTGGCAATGTTAATTTCTCCGACGTTCGCCATTCCCTTAGTTTCAACCTTTGCTCTGATACCACATTGTCACATCCTTAGTAATTAACTAAGTACATGTGTGGCACTTGACAACTCGCTCAGGATCTTGCACAACTTGCTCACGTTCTTGCTATGCCAAGTCAGCCTTATTACACTCAAGATCACTAAGAGAATGCTAGAAAGAACACAAGAGAATTGCTAAAGGAAGCTTTGTATTAGAGAGAACTTGAGTTGTTTGCTTGATGAATTACAAATGAATGCCTCCTTTATATACTAGTCTCCTAGGGGTTAATGTGTAAATATTAATTGTTACACAAGTCCTTAATATTTACAAGATAAATGCTTTCTCTAGAATTTTCTACAAGCCTAGAAGATTCCAAGGATTTTCCTAGCAAATCCATAAGGATCTAGGGTCTTCCTAAGGAAATATCCATACTTCTCTAGAATCTTCTCACAAATGCTAGCCTTCCTATTATGTAAGCTTTCACATGGCATTAATATACGCCAAAATGGCGCCTATATGGCATGATGACGTGGCGGGTCATCACACTCAGCCTCAATTTTTCACGACCGAATCTGAGAATCTCTCCCCTCTATCTTCTGCATTCTTCAGTGTTTTTCAAAGCAAAAACATAAGCATTTTGTGTGATTAGCTCCACCATTTGAGTTCGCCGAAGTTCTGTGATTTGAAGTGCCACTATCACAGAATAGTTATTCCGTTCTATCCTGGGAGGAATTAGTCCGAAACATTGGGCAACCGTGAGGGGATTAAATTCCTTAAGGATACACAAGAAACTTGTGGGCTCGAAATTTTCTGTTTTTGTTTTCTTAAAATATCGTCTTCTGATTTTCTGGTTTTGAATACATAATTCAAACAAAAACTAGCTCTTCGATATGCAAAAGAAATCTTGTGACAAGGAAAAATTATTGTAGAAATGACACCGGATAGTCACTCTAAAGGGCATCTATTTAAGAATTAGCCAATGCATCCTGAATTTTACTTTTTCGATTTAATTTTTCATGACACAAATGCGTTGAATTATCCTAAAATTAAAAAATTGTAATCCTAAGAATGACCGTTTGTGTACTCCCCCAAAATTGATCCACCAAATAGAAGACATTTTCATTGGATTCTCAACTTTGGGTTTCAACTGTTTGTACTTGAATCCAATTGAAGGACCATCAACCAACGCATCCCATTTTCTCCCTGTCTTTTCCTAAATCCTTTCTGTGGGAAATACATCATCATCCTCACTCCTTTTTATTTTTATATTTTTTTTCATTTCTTATAGTTCCATGATCAATGAAGGCATGAACCATCTCACCCTTTTCAGTTTGCTTATTACGACCCTTTGCTCCTCTAATTAATTTGATGACTAATGAAATTGACTTCTTCTTATTCTTCGTATTGTTGTTGTGATGTTATTGTACGTTTTACTAGTCCAAATAAAGATCATCCACGCAAAACTAATAGGAGTATATTAAACAGATAGTTCTGCTGAAATTGTACTATCATCTTTGTCAAGTCAGAGAATGAAGAAGAGCAAATGGTAACCCCAAATTCAATTTATTATAAAAAGAATAAAATTTTGTCATCCCCTTGTTGTCCTGTGTGAATGTGACTGTGTCCGCTAATTCTCTCATCTCTTCCCAATTGGAATAAACAAAATGATAGTCTTTATTTTTAACATTGAGAAAAACAGGGAAAAAGATGAATGTTCTCCAAAAAGTTTTATTCAAGTCCATTACTCCATTATTTCTTTTCTTTTATGTACCAAAAATATTATTTCTTTCTTTTCATTTCCGCAAGTGAGAGTCGAAATTGGATTAGCAGAAAAATCAATAATCAGATTCACGAGACTAAAAATGCAATGGGATTACATCATCAGAAAAAATAATTGTCTGAAGAAAAAGTCTACTACGAAATCCAGTAGCAGCGACATTGCCAATTTTTCTATACAAACGCTAAAAACTAATCGAAATTTTCCCCAAGGGTAAAAGATTAGAATAACGCTAAGAATGCACTGGACCTGGACTCACGGTCACGGGGCTCGGAGGGCTCAATGTTGGAGGCGGAGGTAACGAAACCGCAGGCGGCGGAGGCGGCGAGGAAACAATTGTAGCTGCAGGCGGTGGCGCTAAATTAGGAGTTTCAGGGGTAGGAATATCTGTAGGGGGTGGTGGGAATAAGCTAGGATTTGGATTATTAGGCTGTGAAGGGTTGGGAATTGGCAATGGTGAGATTGGGTTATTGCTATTACCATTGGTGGAGGTGGGTGGTGTTGTTGGGGTAGGGGGGAAAACAATGGGGCTCTGGTACTGATTTTGGTCACAAGAATCACCGGAACATCTGTTACCTTTCTGACTGTGATGCTTAAGTAATCCAAATCCCAAGATAAGGCCAGTAACAACTAGAACAGTGAAAATGAAGATGAAGATCTTAGTTGCTTTCCCCACATAACACATCTTTTTGGCCAAGGAAATGATGAGTGATTGAGTAGTTGTATATATTATTATGGGCTAAGCTAGGCTGTTAGTATTATTTCTTGTTACTGCTTTTGGTATCTGTTTGGCAGGTGGAACAGAGAGGGTCTGTTCCTTTGGCTTTTTTCACTTTTTGTATTTTGTCATACTACTCTTCTCTTTCTTTTCTTTCTTGTCATGGTTGTTTTGGAAGTTGGGACTGAAGTGGAATATGTTTGACTGAGCACATTTGGGTCTTGGGGGGTGCAGGAAATGGGTAGGGATGGAGGCGAAGATGGGGATTTTGAGGTTTCGTTATTTAGTGATTGGGTGAGTAGAAAAGGTAGCAGTTTAGCATGTGATACCAATTAAGGGAGAAAGAAACCATTATTTAATGTGGTTTAACTAAGGTTTGTTTTGCCTCTTACCTTCTATTAATTGGCTGTTAGCCACTACAACTGCAAGGTTGGACTGGTTGCTAAGACGAAGTAAATCTTAATCACCTGCTACCTCCGATCCACTTTAAATGAATTTTTTAATTTGTTCACAAATTAAAAAATTCATCTTTTATTATTACTTAATAATTAAATTGATCATATTAATTCTTAAATTGCTCATTGCGAATATAACAAACTATTCCTAGGCTCTTTACCCAAGAACAACTTAGAAAAGAAAAAAATAATTCCTTCTTGATTATTGAAAAAATTAAATATTGTGGAAAAAAATAAATAAGGGCAAAAAATCACTCAAATGGAAACACTTAAAATGAAGCTTCTGATCCGACCTAATTGAAAATGTGTCACATAACTTCCTCAAACTTTCACAATTGCAGTCCCCAACCCTCAAATAGAAAGAAAAAACGCAATTGACGGACACATTATTCAACCAATCCTATAGGCTCTACCCCTATTTCAAGCCCCCAACCCCTAGGGAGCGACCATACCGGGCATACTATCTATAACAGGCCAACGTTTTCATTCTCATTTCTTTTTTATCTCTAGAAATCTACACTTACCTAGTAAACAACTTCTAATATCTCTAACCTTAACTTTTAGATAATTTACAGAGGAATACATAAGACCAATTGTTGAGATTCAAACCCTTAGGGTTCGTTTGGTTGCCGGTTAGATTTATGCTTATACATATATTAGTTATTCAGGTATTAGTTATACAAGAATAAGTAATGCAGAGATTAGTTATGCAGGGATAAGTTATGCAAAGTTGAGTTATGTTGGGATTAGTTATGCATGGATTAGTTATACGGGGATTAGTTATACGGTAGTTATATAAGGATTAGTAATATAAATGTAATGTGAATGTTATTTATTATTAGCTTACTTTATTTTATTAAAATTGTTAGTATAGTTTAAATATATTTTCTTTTAAAAAAAAAAAACAAGTTTGAATAAAGGGCATTCTTGTCATTTTGTATTTTAATACAAGTATTACTAATACATGTATAAGTTATTCCACCTTCTATCCTGCATAAATAATACATAGATTCCTTCATAACTTATACATGTATTAGTTATGTGGAAAAGAAAAACATGAACCAAACATTGTATTAGCAATGCTACATTTTATGTGGAAAAAAGGAAAAAACAACCAAACATTATATAACTTATGCTAGTTTCTACGTGGGGATTATTTTTTCCCCTTCTTTTAACCAAACAATGTATAAAGTTAACGTAGTTTTAATACATGGATAACTCCTCTCTAATCGGCTATCAAATGGCTCCTTAAAGTTAGAGGTATCAATGGTTTGATTCGGCTGGTTATTTCATAAAATTTGTACCATACCAAATTTTCGATTATTCTATTATGTATAATCAAAATTAGGCTTTTCGAAATCGTCCAAATCATGTCGGTTTCTCTTCGGTATCGGTACGATTCGGTTAATTTTTAGTATTTTTTAAAATATCATGTAAAAGTCACTAGTAGAAGTAGAATGCAATAACATATACTTTTATGGGACTTAGCAAAACTCTCTAGATATTTTTACTGTTTAAGGGTGATGAATTAAGAAAACATGAAAGATGGCCAATGTGTAAATCCATCAACTATTCTACAGCAGCATAAAAAAATAAGTAAAGACAAAAAAAACATATAAATCACATGAGTGAAAAGATATTAATCAAGCCGGTACTCAAGAATAAAGTCTATACAAGATTAAATATTCAAAAAGATAAATATAAATCATACGAAAGAAAACATATACAATATATTGTAGTTTGCTACACATAATCTCTATAATACTTTTTGTCTTGCTAGTGAATATGCTGGAAATAATTTAACTTCAGTAGGTGTATCATAATTGTTTTTTTCGGTATATTTTTATCTATACTATATTAAAAGCATGAAGACCCTTAGCGAAATGTCGTTCGCTTTTTTTACCCTTTAAAAATATATTTCACACTAGATAAAATAGTCATTTAATTATTTTTCTATTATTTAGGAATATTTATTGAATTAATTTTTTAATATTTAGGAATTCAAAATCAATTAAATTTTGTGTATTAAAGCTTTCCTTATTTGAGTTATGTAATTTATCAGATTTGTAAAAAGAACAATTTTAACCGAGTAAGTCTTCCTAGATATTTTTGGTAAAAGGGACGAGCACTTCAATTTAAGTTTACTTAAGTTTAGGACTCTTTAAATAGAGAGGAAAAAGATTGAAACTGAGGTATAGTTGATACGGTAATTAATATAGGCATCAATTAATGAGTATACAATTATAGATTAAACACGATGTCCTAAATATTTTAGGTCAAAATTTCCCTAACTTTCCAACACCTTTTATAGCTTGTTTGGATGGTTGTTACCATTCGTTTTATATTGTATTGTATTGTATTGTATTGTATCGTATCGTTTTATGAATACAACGTTTGGATAGATTGTATTTTTTGTTATTGTTAAATAAAATTTTGCTGTTTGATTTGACTGTGACGTACTGTACTGTATCTAATAAGTTTACTAAAATACCCTCAATTGTTTAAATATTAAATTTATCAAGAATTACGCATGATCACGCCCAACTATGCCTTATAAAAAGGACTCTGCGGACGTTGCAAATATAACCCGAGTATTACGCCCAGGGTCGAATCCACAGAGAGTTAACCTATCAACCACTATCTTCAGACCCACTAATTCTTCAGAACCAGCTTCCCAAATATTCAAATCTCAGTTGAATGTTCTTTAACAACTACGCTTGCAAGTAACTAAATAGTTGTAAACTAAACTAATAAGGTTGTAAACAATTATGATAAAAAGCTAAGGCAATGATTTCCCCTATTGATGGAATCCCTTCTGTTTATGCTCATACAAATTTACCAACACATCTCTATCAATCATGAACGCTAATCTTACCGTAAATCTCTCCCGAGTAATCACAGTAATTTACTATTGCACTCTCCCGAGATACACTAGCTTACTTTATTTAGCACGATTCACTTTAGATTACACCCAAGGCTTCGTTATCCCTAATCCCGCCTTTAAACCCGCAATTATAGATTCCTCTAATAATCCAGGAGTGGTGTTGTTCAACAATACCCTAAATATGCACTCTTTCCAAGTTATGCACACTAAATAGGCACACCTAATTGAGGATCCTGTCAATTAACTACAACAAACACGGAGTTGAACAAATAGAGATTAAACTAACAATTTGTATTCACATAAACAAGAAGTTCATCACCCAATAGGTTCCATCAAAACCTTAGACAAGGAATTTAGCTACTCATGGCTATGGGAAAATAAACTAAGATAGAATTCATCATAAAAATCAAAAGTAAAGAAGAAAGATGTTTGGAGTATTCTCTCACAATGGTTTTTTTTTTGCTAAGAAACCCTAAAAATCAATACATCCTCTCTTGGGCGAAGTCTAATGTTTTAAATAGGGTTTAGGTCTAAAAATCCCGTATTTGACACTTTGACCCCTGAACTTTTCTGCGCCTGCCGCGGTTCTGCCGCGGTCGACCGCGACCAATCACCCTCTCTGAATCTCTAAAGTTCTGAAGCTGCCTTCCACCGCGGTTCTGCCGCGGTCGCGGTAGAACCGCGACCAAACCATTTTTCTGAATCCTAAGGGCTGGCAGGGCGTAGCTTCATTGGGAATTTACACATTTGGCCTCTTTTCTCCAATTTTGACTCCAAAACTGCTCCTTAGCCTTCCTTATACATATATCACCTGCAAATCATGAAAAGCACTAATAAGAGCATTTTGTTATCACTTTTAGCATTAAAACTACACAAGAAGGTGATTATTTAAGGTGTGATTATAGTCAAATTCACCTATTATCAACACCCCACACTTAAACCTTTGCTCGTCCTCGAGCAAACTAAACCACACTTCTAGGCCTAACTGTTCAATGCATTGCCCCAATTTATGTCACACCTGCTATTATCAATGATCGACCTAAGCAGTGCACAATCATATCTCAAATGCAGACTCTCATGCCAAGACACACTTGTGCTCACTCTAATTACTCTAACAGAAGTGAAGACTCACTTTTTCTTCCTGAGTCACATGCCCTCACATAAACAAAATCTGAGAGAAGTTCCACACACATAAAATTCAACAACAAGGAACCATATATAGAAAGAATTCACTCACTCTCAGCAAAGAGCATTCACATGCCACACAGACACACCATAAGCTTGCCCCTAGTGTAATACTCTACTAATCGAGCCATTCAGTCAAAGATCAAGAGGTCTTTATAGGTTGTAATGTAGGCTAAGGGACGGGTAGGATATATTTGGATATAGTGACTAACCTCCCTAAGCACTTTTATACACACTTCCTTTTATTTCACCTTTATGTTCAATCCAATCATTATTCCACATTTTTGTTTCACTTGTGACTCCCACTTTTCTTTAGGTACAACTGGCTTCTTCTTTTTTTTTCCAGAGATTTATTGTACAATGCCAGCTCACCAATCAAAACCTTCATTCTTGATTCCCTTTTTTCACTAACTCTCTCCCACCCCACACTTTGACTTTTGTAT